GAAGGACAAAAACATTTCAATCTTCTTCTCCTATCCTACTCCCTCAAACTTCGTCTTCTTTTTTTGTGCACGATCCCTCAACAACAATAAAACAAAACTCAACATTTACCTGCAAAAAAAGAACTAGCTACAACATATATCCAACAAGGACGGTTGGCACCGACGATGTGGATCAAAGAGGAGGGTAGTGGTGTGGTGCTCGTGTATGGAGGAATGATGTGATGTTGAGTTGTTGCTTAATGGTGGATGGAGTGTGAGATCGGAAGGTGTAGTACAGTTACTCATTGAATGTTATTGTACATATTTGTTTCATGAAAGAGAGGGCGATTTATTTTGGTGGTGAAAGCTTTTAAGGTTATGTTATTGTTGTTGTGTTAAGGTGAAGATGATGATAAAGGTTGATTAGTTTGTGTGTGTGAGTGTGTGTTGTGTTGATGATGTTGTGGCTAAAGTGACATGATGAAGTCTAATCAGAGATGTTGTTTATGGTTTCATATTTACAAGTTATGCTTGTATGTGTCTTTGTAGTGTTAATGAGTTGAAGTAAGATGATCATGTTGTTTGGAGAAAGGTGAAAAGTTTTGTGAAGGTTAAAAAAGGTGTGGTGGTGATGGAATAGAAGGATGTGGTTGAAGTTTGAAGTGATGAAGATGTTTTTAGCAATAAAATTAATATATTATATGTTTATATATTGGAAAATTAATTATTGATTAAAACCAAATTAAAATCTAACACAAATAATAATAAAAAATTAATAACTTCAAAAAAATTAATTTAACTACTTAAAAAATTATAAATATTTTTTTTAAACATTAATTTGATAAAAAGAAAAAAAAGGATAAAAAAATGAATAAAAATCGGATGCAATAATGCCAAAAAATTTGGATGCGCCAAAATGATCCGTGCAAAATAAACTTCTTGGAAACATACAGGTTTTAGGTAAATTTTGAAATAAAAAAATGACTAGTTAAAAGGCTCAGGCGGACAAAAACGCAACCGAAAAAGTAGTCGAAAAATTAAAACGAGCACACCAGATTAAACCAGATGAACCATATATTAAGAAAACTTACGTCCGCAAGATCGATTTTGAAAATTTTCACCCGTTAATTCGACGTACAATTGAGAAACGATTTGACCGATCTGTCTGTAGATTTGTAAAATTATTTTGGTTGATATTTTAAGCATTACACAAAACAAAATGCATGTTATGATAAGTAGAAAATGCAGATTTCTTGTAAATGCGTTAAATTACTGATCGAATAATTATGAATAGACAATCAGATGCAAGTGAATCACTTTTGGACAATTTACTTATAATTCTAAACCATAATTAAAACCTACAGAAATTCAGAGGAGGACAATACTCTTAATTGTCACCCTCTGGACCTCTAAAATATGATGCAACAAAATGAACGATGCATTGAGACCAAGAAATGAAGCCTTTTGACTTCTTAGTAAACAAAAATGACTGAATGAATGTCATCAGGACCACATGAAATGCCGAAACTCTTGGCTTTTCATCTAAATCCCAATAGATGCTTTTGACTGAAAGAATGTATGACAAAATGAACGGTTTGCACTATGCAGACAAGAATAAAAAACTTAGGGTAAAATTTAGGGTATGTTAACTATTCTCAAGGAAGAAGCATTGGTTTTTTTAAAGACCTTTTATACCCTACATATCCTACACTCCATACTAGTATGAGTGACTTAACTATGGCTCTGGTTCTTATAGAAGAAGCCCAACATTTTTTGGTTCAACATGTGACAATGGAAGAAGTTACTTATGCGTTGAATCAAATGTACCCTTTAAAGGCGTCTGACCCTGATGGATTCCAGGTTATTTTCTTTAAACAATTTTGGTATATAATTGGAGATGATGTTGTCCAACTTATATCAGATGCTTTTGTGACAAGTAACTTTCACTTCTCTCTATCCGAGAATTTTATCGATTTAATTCTTAAGGTGGATTGCCTCTAACATTTTAAGGAATTCAGACCCATTAGCTCGTGGAACAATTTTTACAACCTTATTACAAAAAATATGGTTAGTAAATTACGTCCTTCTCTAAATCAAATAGTTGGACCATTCAAGAGTAGTATTATTTCTAGTAAAGGGACATTTGATAATGTCATTAGCCTCAAAGATGCAATTCATTATATTGCGTAAATCTAAAAATAAAACAGTTGATTTGGTGTTCAAAATAGATCTTGAAAAGACCCATTATCATGTTAACTGGGATTTCTTGGATTTTTGTTTGAAGCGAAATAGGTTTTCTCCTACTACTATAAATTTGAGTATGCATTGTGTAACTAGATTCTCTATGTCCATCATTTGAAATAGGATACAACTACTAAATTTTGTTTTGACTAGAGGTTTACGTCAAGGTGACTGATCCTATTTCACCCTATCTCTTTGTCATCTGCACGAAATTCTTGTCACAGAGAATCATCAGGGTAATCGATGAAAGCCATTGGAAACCAACCACTTTATCTCATAATTGACCCCCTCTACCGCTTTTATTTTTTGTTGATGATGTTCTTATTTTTGCAAAGGTTCCTGGCTCCCAAGCAGGGACCATTTCTGATATCTTGAATCATTTTGTCGTGTTTTCTGGCCTAAAAATAAATGTTGCTAAATCAAAGGTGTTTTTCTCCGCTACCACTAAGTGGAGTAAAATGGATTTAATTGTCTCTGGAAAATGTATCAAGTAGACTTTTACTCTAGAAGAGTACTTGGGTTTCCATATGTTGCATGGTCGTCTTCAACGAAATGACTTTGAGTTACTATAGGAGAAAATCAGATAGGGGTTAGCATCTTAGCAGCATAAATTGTTAAACAAGGCTAGTCGTTTGACTATGGGTACCTTATCCAACTTGTGAGTTTATTGATAGGACGACTAGGTATTTTTTCTCGAAATGTTATTCTAACCCTGGTGTGCATATTGTTGGTTGGAATAAAATCACTAAGCCCAAAAAGCTCGGTGGTCTTGGGATCCAGAAAGCAAAAAAGGCTAATACTTCTATGTTGGATAAGATAGTTTGGGGTCTCCATCAAGATTGTGATTCCTTTTGGGTCTAAGTTTTCAAGCATAAGTACATCAGTGAGGAATCGTTCCTTAATATGAAAAAGAAACTGGAATGAGTGACTTGGGATGCAATTATGAAAACTATCTATGCTCTTAAAAATGTCTTTAAATTTAGATTGGGGGATGAGCACTCATTTTTTGGTTTCCAATTTGGAACGAGGTTGGGAAATTAATGGAATAGGTACTCTATGTGGATATCCATGTCTTGGAAATTCGAGTGAATGATGTTTATACTTAGATGTGAATTGGAACTTCAATTTATTATATAATAATATTCCTTCAATTGTTTATGACTGCTTAAAAGCACTTCCCATTTGTTTGAATTCTCTGATGCCAGGTTGGTTCGATTTATATGGAAAGACAATTTAGATGATATTTATATTGTTCGGGAAGGTTATAACTGACTCGATATCTATATTGTTCGGGATGGTTATAAGTGGCTCAACATACTATAATTTGCTCAAAATACAATAGGCAATACCTTTTAAAAGTGGGTGTGGCATATTCATGCTCCTAGGAAGGTGAAGTTTTTCTTTTGAACGAATTTACACAAGTCTTTTCTTACAAGATCAATGTTATGTCACTGTGGTGTGCTCTAGATAAATCTTTGTTATATATGCAATCAGGATGCTAATACGACTCTACACTGTCAAAGAGGCTATGAATTTGCTACTCACTTTCTAAAATCTACTCGCTTCTTAAAACCTTATTTTTCTAAGGGGATAATTTATATGATTGGACCAGACATTACATCAATGGTGACTTTATCTTTTTGGCTGTTTGATGGTGGCTGTAGTGCACTAGTAACAAAATGTGTGTTACAAATGAAATAATATCTTCCTTATACTTTGAAACTCGACATAGTGAATTGTGCTAATCTGTTAGCTAAATATTTTTCAAACATAATTTGTCTCATTTGATAAGAACGATTAAGGGGAATGCGCCTAAAATATAGTAATATAATTTTGAATGTTGATGGCAGCAGCCTCAATAATCCCGGTGTCTCGGGTTTGGTGGATTGATTCAAAATGTTGAAGGTGTTTGGGTTCATAGTTTCGTGGGTAATATTGGTTATTCCAAAGTCTTTCATGTTGAACCGATGACGTTTTATCATGGATTGCAGATGATTTGGGGACTTGCCATTAAAAACCTGATATGTTATTCTGACTCTAACTTTTTTATCAAACTTATCTCGGAGTCTGTTAATATTTGACATCACTATGTCATGATTCTTCACAATATTAAATAGTTTCTCTTTAGGGAATGACAAATTCGACTATTTCATATTCTTAAAGAGGAGAATACTTATACTGACAATATGACAAAATATGTAGATAATAATAATACAATGTACTAGTCTTTTACAAAGTCTTTTGTTAGAATCATCACTCATCGTCTAATGCTAGAAAATTTATTTTATAAATAATTTTCTGCTTTTTTTTCTTCATTTTCCTAGTTGTAAACAAAAAATTGCATTTGTGTAAAGACAAAAATGGACACACTTACAAAAAAAAAAAAAAAGACAAAAATAGACAAGGTGAACGTGTCTCCGCAGTACTCATAAGGTTTTTGCCAACTTATCAAAGAGGGCTTTATAAAAATCCCTAACTCATCAAAATCATTCAAAACAACTCACAAAAGAAGGCTGCTAGGGTTTTTCTCCAGGTTTCAGATCTCTTCCTCCGTAGTTTCTGATTCATTTCTTCTCAAATTACTCTATTTCACTTTTTTCTCTCTCTCGTTCGTTTCTTCCTTTCAAGTTTTCGTAGGTTCCCTTTAGTTTTTGTCATGGAAATTTTCGCCGACGCTCAATTTTTTATTTCTTATGCAAATTTTATCTCTTTTTTGGTTAAATTAATTAAATCTGTCCTTTAATCTGTGATTCGCAGGTTTATTGATCAAGAACGAAACGATGTCTCGTGTGTATGTTGGTAATCTGGATTCGAGAGTCACGGAGAGGGACCTTGAAGATGAATTCCGTGTTTTTGGTGTTATTCGAAGGTATTTGAAGAAGTATTGATTATTTGAAGATACAATTTCGTTTTCATGTTTCGTTAGGGTTTATAGGGCTTGTATGATTTGAAGAAAATTGTTTTATTTTTTTTTACCCTAATAATTTTAGTCTTAAATTTTTTTTTTTTTTTTTTATATTTTTTTTAGTTTTGAACTTGGAAATTAAGGAGAAATAAGATGTCATTGTATATATTTTTTTTATTTTTATAATTATTAGTAGAAGCAAGAAAATTTTGATTTATGGATGAAAATTTTGATTCAGTTAACTGTGTTTAATCTTGTTTTGGAGTCTTCAATTTTCAGTTTTATTACCTATGATTTTTTGGGGAAATGATTTTATTTTTTCATGGATCGTGTGATTGCAGTGTCTGGGTTGCTCGAAGACCACCTGGCTATGCTTTTATTGATTTTGATGACCGAAGAGATGCACAGGATGCTATTAGGGAATTAGATGGTATGTGTAGAAGGATTATTAAAATGTATTAAAATGGCATATATATTATTATGAGACTATTCTAAGCTGCTAATGTGTTATTGTTTTTCCCCCCTTTTCCGGTCGATATGTTCAAGGGTTTTCCTCAACTCTACATATTTAAGTCTTCTTCTACTTCTGCCTTGTAAATCTCTTAAGCAAGCGGCTCTGCAGTAGTGGTTTTTTCGTTAGTCTTCTTCAGAGTCTGCTGATTAGTACACTTTGACTTCATGTAAAGAGAATTTACAATGTGAACTAAGGATTTGCACTACTTTGGGGTGTTATCTCGCAAGCGGCACTTCTCTTGCATAATGGCTTAGTTTTTTGAGATGTGTACTACTGCAATTAATCTGTCGCCCATCTGAGTGCTGCATGTGTTCTGTATATATGCCCATCTGAGTGGTTAAATAACTTCTATGAATATTATGGTAACACAATATTGTCTTTACTGAATGAAGAACTTGTTCATAATGATGTGTATATGATATTGCTACTGTGTTCACATGCTGCTGTTCAATTTTCTTAAAATATGGAAAAATTTGTTGTGGATGTAGCCTTGTGATGTTGTTTGATCCATGTAACAAACTCTTATTGAAATAGGGTCTGGGCATTTTTTAAATGAACATGTTTGTCTATTTATTTGAACAATTGACAGCACCCTTCCAATTAAAATTTTAATGATCATGTAATCCATCTTTGCTGTTTCCCGTTTAATGTTTCTGATCTTTTTTATTACTGAGTTGATCAGCCTAAAGCCAAGTATGTTTGCAGGGTTATGAATTGGTGCGGAACCAATATTTACCTGTTAAATACTTGTGTTAAAGCTAACAGCAGTATGTTAAACTTTTTGTTATATGTTCCTTTTTCAAGGTTTAAACATCAAAGTATCTTTATCAAAATAGAAAACATCAGAAGTATTATATTAAACATGGTTTCTGTTTTTGTTCTCATAAATTTAGCCCCATGGATCATATACTTTTTTCTGTTATTACTTTATCTTTACTTGGAATTTTCATTTGTGGAACAGGTAAGAGTGGTTGGAGGGTTGAGCTTTCTCACAATTCTAGAACTGGTGGTGGCGGTGGCGGCGGCGGCGGTGGTGGTCGTGGTCGCGGCGGTGGAGGCGGTTCTGACCTGAAGTGTTATGAGTGTGGTGAACCTGGCCATTTTGCCCGTGAATGTCGCAATCGTGGTGGTTCAGCAAGACGCCGTAGCCGTAGTCCACCTCGATTTCGCAGGAGTCCAAGTTATGGGCGAAGGTTAGATTGATTTTTACAATTTCTTTGAATGCATGTGCAATTCTTTTGGCATTTATGTTTACTGTGGTATTTTCCTTAATGATCACGGTAGAAATTGTTATACCTCAGAATTATGCTTATCTCTGTGATTAGACGCAGTATCCATGTCACTTGTCCAATGGTTGGCTTGCGAGTTTTTTATTATGCCGAGATAAGAATTATAATCATTTGCTTAACTTGTCTTTCTTTTATATGCACCAGGAGTTTCAGTCCTCGTGGGCGGTCTCCCAGGCGCCGCAGCGTGTCACCTCGTGGACGCAGCTACAGCAGGTCACCACCTCCTTACCGTGCCCGTGAGGAGGTGCCATATGCTAATGGGTCAGTTATGCTCACCCTTAAAAGTTTTCTACTAAGCGTAGTTCTTATTGTGTCACTATTCCAACAGGCACTGTTTTCCATGGAACATTTGATTTTAAGTTAATTACCTTACTGTCGAGAATGCATTTGATTTATGTTAATTTTGCGCTACTTGTTAAGTTATTATTTGCTGTAGTTTTTGTACTGACAAATGATGCTTCAAAATAATACCTATGCAGAAATGGCATTAGGGATCGACGCCGAAGCAGAAGTTGATTTTTATAGTCAGTAATTGCAATTGTTGAGAAGAATAGTGAGGTTCTGTTTACCAAGGGGTTGCATGGATTGCAATATAAGTCTGTTTTGTCAGGCAATGACCGAGTTTCTACTATTGTATTGGATTAGTTACTTCATTAATGTCTCAGCTAGTGTTTCTTTTTTCCTTTCAAAAATCAAAATACTTGTAGTTTCATTGCAGACAACTGCATATTTTAAGTGTTCTATTGCTACAATTTTCTAGATATTTTATAAAGTACATGCTTGTCTCATGGGATGTGTTTTTTTTTGGTTCTACTATGTTGGCACGTGGGATGTATCAGATTTCCTCTTAAATTTATAATAATGGTTTGTTGTCCTGCATCAAGTACTTCTAGCAGATTACTTGCAACTCTTCTGCTAAAGTATTTCTAGGTCTCAAAGGTGAAGCCTTTTTATTTTAGAGGGATAAGTGAAAGGTCGATCTGCAACTTACATATTGTGTAATTTTGGATTGTGCAAGTAATATCTTCAATGATTTCAATTAGGAGAATTGAAGATTTAGAGGAAGAAAATTTGAACATTTTATCTCTTAAGAATTAGATTGAAGAAATTTTCAAATTTCAAGAGTTCAAAAATGATTGAGTCCATATATTGAATTGCTGAAGGAATCAAAGAGACTGAGAAAAAGCTGGTGGGTCTTGAAGAAATAAAATTTAGGGTTTAGAATTTGGTGAGAGGAGCTGGTGGATCTTGAAGAAATAAAATTAAGGGTTTAAGAATTTGGGGAGGGCTCTTGAGATTATGTTATGTAAAATTAAGGAAAATTATATTGGGATGTCTTAAGACCTACGTTTTGTTCAAGATAAAATGAGTGTTTGGACAGTTAAAGATCAATACAAGAACAAACTGAGTGTAAAATCAACACAAAGAATGATATAAGTGTAACATAAATGAAGAGATACAAGAACAAACTCAGTGTAAAATCAACACAAGGAATAATTTAAGTGTAGCATAAATGAAGAGATGAAGATATTGTCTTGAATGTGTGATAAAATTAGATAATATAAATTTAAAAATGGGATGCTTTTTGTAATAGAAAAGATAATAAAAAAATAGACTTAAGTGATTTTATCATATAGAGAAATAAATTTTATATTAAAGGTAAGAGAGATTACTCGTTTGCATAGAAATACAATTTTATATAGAATATTATGGTAGAAGTTGATTAAAGTAATTAAAAAATTGGATTCCTCTCAATCAAATAGAAAGAGATAAAGAGAAATGTTACTATGTTATTTATATTTTGCATTTGATGAAAGTTAGTTACAACAACTCACTCTAGTGAGTTTATATAGTGCATCTTAGAGTAATTAACTGTGTTGACTCAGCATTAGTTAGTTACTCATTTGGGAGGCTGTTTCACGTCAGATTTTCTTTGTCAAAAATTGTTACAACAACCTATTGGTTCTTGAAGTGTAGCAGGATATTCACGATCGGTTGAGCACAATTTGGAGAAAATTATGAAAGATAATAGTATCATCTAAGGTGAAGGCTTTTTATTGGAGATTCTTTCACAATAGGCTCTCTACAAGACAACAACATCTCTTTAGAAGAAACATCATCCATGATATTTCTTTGATCAATTGTGCTTTTTGCAATGAAGATCTAGAATCTATTGACCATTTGATGATCCACTGTTCGGTCACAAAATTGGTTCGGAAGCATGTTTGAGATTGGATTGGTATGCCTAGACCATTGTCAATACATTGTATCTTGGATTTTAAGCTTGTGTTGGAAGCTTTTAATGGGAAGGTCGGAAAACATTGTGAAGGAGTTTTGTGGATGATCACTTGTTGGTACATTTGGAACAAGCGAAACGTCGTGATTTTCAATGAAGATAGTTGTCATGCAACATATATAGAGTTTAACATCAAAATTACCTCTTGACTTTAGATTGGTCTTCACAAAAAATCATACTCATGTAGCTTCTTTGATTAATGCAATACACCATTAGACTTTCTAGTGTAATTTCCTTGTAATTTTTGTTGGCTTGTGGTGTCATCCTCACCATTGTAATGACTCCTCTTGTATGTTGGCTTGAGTATTTCTTATACTCCCTTTAGTGAATTCTTTTGCTTATAAAAAAAGTTACTCATTTATGGAAACTAACTTTACCAATACACATGCCTTTCTTAAGGCATTAGCATCCTTACACTCGATTATCTGCCCCACAAATGCATATTCATCTCTTGTGAGATAGAGATGACACATCTATGACCGAAAGCTTGTCCCTGAGATATAAAAATCTGAGAGTTGACATAGGCTTGGTGAGTCGATTAACATATTGGTTTGTGGCAGGAATATGCAAAACTACAAGATTCTTGTGATGACTTTATTTGAGAAAAAATATATCTAACCTATGTGTTTTGTCTTAGCATGGATCACATGATTATGAGAAAAGGCTACAATACTCAAATTATCACATAACTATATTGGAGTTGTGCAAGGAACATGAAGTTCTGCTATCAAAGATTGAATCCAAATAACTTTAGAAGTAATGTTAGCAAGGTTTTTGTACTCGGTTTGTGTACTTGATCTGACAATAAGAGTTTGTTTCTTGGACCACCAAAAAACCATGTTTGAACCTAGATAGATACAGGAGCTAGAGATGAATCTCCTATCATCTAGATCAGCTCCCTAGTCAACATCAAAGAAAGCCTTGATGGAAAGAGGAACATGTGTAGATGATGGTCTGAGTAAAAGTCCGTGCCTCATACGACCCTTTAGGTACCTGAGAATTATTTTCACTGCCACCCAATGACTATCAAGACTAGCATATTACTTGTAACTGTTCTGCCAAAGTATTTCTAAGTTTCAAATGTGAAACATTTCATTTTAAAGGATAAGTCATAGGTAAATTATGATTTACATATCATAATTTCTATTTTTGAATGTTTTTCTTGTTTGGAAAATTTGAGATTAAAAACGTGTTTGTTGGTGTAAGGGTCACTCGTTATGTACATGTAACACAATATAATAAATATTTGGAAACTACTATATGAATTATTATAGTAATCAAACATGGTCCTCTAGATTTTAATTGGTAAGGTCGTCTTAGAAATAAAAATGACAAAAAAAGTAAAATATATATGTGAATTTACATAAATTTTAGTCTTCTGTCTTTCAATATAAAAATAATAGATAATATAGGGTGTGAACTAATTTTTTGTTGAGGAACCTCAAACTCTATTCGCACCATTCTCATCAAGGTTTTTGGGCACTCTGGTCTATATTGGCTAAGTTTGTGATGTTAATACATCTAAACTTCAGATATTAATTGAACTCTTAGGAATAACTTATGACATCTTTTAAGATTTTTTTTGAATGACTAAATATAAATTAATAAAAAGGTCAAAAGACTATAAGATTACAGAAAAAGACCAAATGCATAAGTATCAAATAAAAAAACTACTAAATAAACAAAGTGAAGCAAAAAGAAAACAAACAACACTACAAGAACATGAACAACAACAAAAAAACTAAAAAAGAGGAAAGTTCAACAACTAAAAAATAAACAAGTCAACAACTAACACTAACCAAGCTAGAGCTCTAGCACCAAACCCTCCAACCGCAGACTAAACAAGACCACAAGGAATCACCAAGAAGTCACTCTAGAATCAACGCCAATGGGTCATATCAACGCTCTAGAATCATTATTGATTTAGACACACATACACATGATATAGTTATGAAGCTAATCAATAAAGGAGAAAGTTCAACGATGATATTGTTAGGAGAGATTTTTCAACTAGGGAGCATTGAACATTGTGGGACTTTTCTTTCTAGAGCAACACTTTTGTGAGAGACACACTACATATTCACCTAAAACCTGAAGGTAATAGGTGTGTGGATTCTCCCACATATAAATGTCCAAATCACCACATTCCTATCCAATGTGAGACTATTATTCACACTACTCACACTTGTTATACTTAACACTTCTCCTTAAATGTGAGTCTACCCACAATTCTCCCCCTTAAGCGGAAGTTTCAACTGTGCAACTGCACTTTCTGTTGTGTGTTTCTTATTCACCATCTTTGTACCGCAATTAACACTCTTCAACGGAACACCTTCTAACCACCACATGTGGGGAGTACTTTCGATATAAGTGAGCCAATCCTTCACTTAAACCAAAGGCTCATGATACCACTGTTGGGTCACAAGAGAGCATTGAACATTGTGAGACTTCTTTTCTATAGCAACATCTTTGTGGGAGACACATCATATACTCACCCAAAACCTTAAGGTGATAGGTGTGTGGGTTCTCCCACTTATAAATGCTCAAGTCTCCACATTCCTAGTCAATGTGAGACTATTACCCATACTACTAACAATTTCTATACTCAACACTCCTCCTCAAGTGTGAGTTTATCCACAATGCTCCCATTTAAGCAAAAACTTCATCCACATACTCTTGTACCGCCGTTGACACTCTTCAACAGGACATCTCATACCCACCACCTATGGGGAGTACTTTCGATACAAGTGAGTCGACCCTTCACTCGAACCAGGCTTTGATACCACTGTTAGGGGAGATTTTTCCAACTAGGGAGCATTGAACATTGTGAGACTTTTCTTTCTAGAGCAACACCTTTGTGAGAGACACACCACATATTCACTCAAAACCTGAAGGTAATAGGTGTGTGGGTTCTCCCACCTATAAATGTTCAAGTCACCACATTCCTATCCAAGGTGAGACTATTATCCATACTATTCACACTTGTTATACTTAACAGATATATTACTGAACTAACTCCAGGTCAAAAAAGTCTTATCCTCTACCTTTTTCGCATTTGTTAACAAACTAGAAAAAAAACTTATCATTACGAAAAAACTAGATAGTCCACATCATTGCATATCAAATCATAATAAACTATCTATAATTTTAGATATAGACCCTTCAAAGAGGTAAAGCTCAAAAACTCAACTAATATACCTTGGAAAAGGTAACTAGACTC